GGGGCTCAGACGTTCTTACGCGGGGGGTGGGGCTTCGCCCCTACCCGAAGAATTGTATGCAAAAAACTCTTCACGCAAACCATTTAGATTAGACAACATTTCCTTTTTATTCAATGTTTACGCGATAATCAATGACGTCATTATATTACTGTGTGCACTTTCCGCCTTGAGATTATTTTCAACTCTATGCTAAATGTGTCGACGTCATACTTCGTTTTCGTTTCACTGTGCAAGTTTTTAATTTCCTTGTGTTTTCTCTAGAGCGTTCTTGTCAGATAGAATTTTTGCTTATGTTTTCTCTAGAGCGTTCTTGTCAGACAGATAGATAGATAGATAGACAGACAGCGAAACTATTATTATAGACAAGACTGGTGTACAACTACTTCCCCAACAAATGAAGTTTCACACACACACCACCCCCCCACCCCCACCCCCCCCCCCTCCCACCCCCCAAAAAACATGTCTCGTTGAGGAAGGATACAACGGGCGCTAGGCTGATAGTGCTGTCTCTTTTCTCTAAACTAAACCCCCCCCAACCCCCCCCCCCACCCCTACCCCCCCACCCCCCAAAAAAACATGTCTACCGTCCCATTCAACGAAATATAATTATATACTTTTTCCAGTGTCCGCCCCCTCCCCGAAAATTCTACCCCCGCCCCCGAAAATTTTAAGTACCCCCACCCCTCTCCGGGGAGGAAAAAGTCTGAAAGAAACACTGGTGTCGAGCTTAGCCACTACCCGAAGAATTGCATTAAAGAAATTGCAAGAAAACCACTTTTTAGATTAGACACATTAATTAGGCGGTAATTTTATTATAGAGTATCGATGAAGAAATTTCTTTTGAGTTGGGGAGGGGGGGGGGGGGGGCTCAGACGTTCTTACGCGGGGGTGGGGCTTCGCCCCTACCCGAAGAATTGTATGAAAGAAACTCTTCACGCAAACCACTTAGATTAGACAAAATTGCCTTTGTATTCAATGTTTACTCGAGAATCAATGACGTCATATTACTGTGTGCACTCCCCGGCTTGATATTATTTTCTACTATATGACGTCATACCTCGTCTTTCGTTTCACTGTGAGAGTTTTTAAATTGCTTGTGTTTTCTCTATAGCGTTCTTGTCAGATAGAATTTTTGCTTGTGTTTTCTCTAGAGCGTTTTTGTCAGACAGATAGATAGATAGATAGATACACAGACAGCGAAACTATTAGTATTAATAGGTGCTATGCGCTTTATTTCACGCTATAACTGCATTCAGCCTTCTTTTATTTCTGCATTTTCTTCCATAGCCTGTGTCCATCCAAAAATAAAGTTCAAGACAGCTGCTGTTGGGAGCCGGACGTTTTCCCGAAAGACACTTGCCCGAATGCCGTTTGCCCGAAGGCCGATTTCCCGAATGGACACTTGCCCGAATGCGACAAACGCCCGAATGGACACTTGCCCGAATGCGACAAATGCCCGAATGGACACTTGCCCGAATGCGACAAATGCCCGAATGGACACTTGCCCGAATGCGACAAATGCCCGAATGCCACTTGCCCGAATGCGACAAATGCCCGAATGCCACTTGCCCGAATCTCGCAGACAAATTAATTGCACACCAAGTGAACGCGAAATAAAAAAGCGCATAATAGTGCGCAATATTATTAGTACTTTTAAAATTTACATTAGTTTTTTGAGAAATCGGAAGTAGCGTAAATTACTACTTCTGGTCAACGGAAATTACTCAAAATTTAACAGAAGGTAGATAATTAGATCTTTTACTTACATGTGAAATTTCATTTATCTATCTGAAATAGTACTCAAGTTATAGGCTTTTGAAAAATTCAAAGTAGAAAAAGTACCACTTCCGGTTATCGGAAATCGCTCAAAAGTTGATACGGATCTACGATTTTGATAAAATACTTATATATGAAATTTCAACAACCTAGCGGTAACGGTACTCAAGTTATCGTGTTTACACACGGACACACAGACAGACACACACACACACACACAGACATACGGACAAGATTGCAAAATTATGTTTTTCCGTATCAGTGAGCTGTAAAACGTCGAGATTTGTAAAAATCTCGATTTTTTTTTTTTTTGCACGATTACAATACTTTCTCTATACTACGTATATACGAGAAAGTAAAAAACACTAGAATCCATAATGTTTACATAACTTTGTCAAAGACCATAAATTGAAACACTAGACCACTAGTTTAGTACTGTCTTTAGTTTGTGTGGTGTTAGGTTATTATTTCCTACGTATTGACACTACCAGTTTAGTAGGTCAATTAAAACGTTACAAAACGTACAACACATGTTATATACGTTATGCTAATACCGGGTCTACGACAAATTCCTGAAAGACACTTTCCCGATTGCCGTTTGCCCCAAGGCCGATTTCCCCAATGAACACTTTCCCTAATGCGACAAATATCCGAATGAACATTTGTTAATATCAAATAGACATTCTTAATCAATTCAAGGGCATAAAAAACAAATTTGTTTATATTTTTTTAATAAATCGAGAGTGATCTCCCCTAAACTTTCATGAATATTCTTATATAAAACAACAGGGGATGGGAACTCGGGATATAGTTATGATTTTTAATCCATTTTAAATACTTAAACTTTTTAAAATAGAATAGAATCTCATAGAAAAAAGAATTGCGCACCAAGCGAACGCCGAATAAAGATGTGCATAATAGTGCGGAATATTATTAGTACTTTATAAATTCACATGCATTTTTTGAGAAATCGGAAATAGCGTAAATTAGTACTTCCGGTTAACGGAAATTGTTCAAAATTTGACAGAAGCTAGAGATACAGATCTTTTACTTACATGTGAAGTTTCATTTATCTATCTGAAATAGCACTCAAGTTATATAGGCTTTTGAAAAATTGAAAGTAGAAAAAGTACCACTTCTGGTTATCGGAAATCACTCAAAAACTTATAACTATCTACGATTTTGATAAAATACTTATATATGAAATTTCATCAACCTAGCTGTAACGGTTGTTTTACACACACAGACACACACACAGACACACAGACACACAGGCATACCGACAAGACTGCAAAATTATGTTTTTCCGTATCAGTTAGGTGTAAAACGTCGAGATTTGTAAAACTCTCGATTTTTCTTTTTTGCACGATTAGAGAGAAAGTAAAAATGTGTATACTTTTAAAATTTAACATTTAATGTTTGGAAATTGAGAAATTGCTGTAAAAAACTTTATTCTTTAATAGTGTAATGCTATGTTGGCGGCGGTGTTTTTATACTCTCTTGATGCAAGTTTTGAAAACCTTGTTTAGTCGACGTGCTGCGGCGGTTATATAGCGTTTATGACACGGTGTAGTCGGCGCGGCGTCTCTTTACCAGTGTTTCTTCCAGACTTTTTTCTCCGGGGGGCACTTGAAATCTTCGGGGGGGGGGGGGGGCGGTAAACTTTCTTCGGGGGGGTGGAGACTGTTAAAAGTATATATTTTTTATATAAATTATATAAATTTCATTTCGTTCGGGGAAGAAACTCTGCTCGTTACATTGAACAGAGACGCGTTTGTTTGATTTATTGTGTTATGCTTAACGTGTGTGGTGACTATTTCACAATTGAATAAAGTGCCTTAGGCAGCGAATTTAAAAACTAAAGGTAGTCGATTATATTTCATCTTCATTTAATGCACCTTGTTTAGATAATGTGTTGAAGCTATTACTTAATACAGAAAGCGAGAATCATTTAAAAACATCAGATAAGTGAAAATTATATTTTCATCTTGTTTTATAGATAGCAAATAATGTAGGCCCTACACTTTCTTTAATATAGGAAATACTAATTAATTCATAATGCCTGCTTGAAGATATTAAATAGTATTTTGTTCCCTTTCAATTTGGTTAGACATTTATTTAATTATCAAATTTCAAATTTAAGTTGATTAAGAATGACTATTTGGTAATCTGTAATGTTACCATTTTTCGGGTAAAGGCCTTCGGGCAGGTGTCAATTCGGGCATTTGTTGCTATCGGCAATTGACCAGTCAAGTAGTTTAAATGTATATGGTTTATCTATCGAAACAAAAATTAATAGAACTACAGTTCTTCTGTTGTTTTTAATAATGACCGATAACAAGAGCTGCATAATTCACCTTTTGTATTTTTCATTTCAGGTTGCAGTCAATTAATGAGATATTAAAATGTTTGAAATGTGACAATTATCAATGTTTTTAAGTTATTATTTTATTATAGATTCAATCCCTGTCTCTAATGGGGCATCGTCTTAATATAAGAAATATAAAGGGATGACGTGACGTTATTTGAAATTAGTTTACTTAAACTGCAACTCAGTAAATATCGAACGGTACTGTGGTAGACCGCTGTAGGTCGACCCCCGACATACCAGGTGGTGTAATGTACCAGGTGGTGTAATGTACCAGGTGGTGTAATGTACCAGGTGGTGTAATGTACCAGGTGGTGTAATGTACCAGGTGAGAAAACAAACACCTGACGGAAACCCACGGGTCTAGAGACTGGCACTATGGGTGAGTGAAATGTTCCATTCTTTATCACGTTATGGTCCGTCTGGCTAACGAACATCACGTTATGGTCTGTCTGGCTAACGAACATCACGTTATGGTCTGTCTGGCTAACGAACATCACGTTATGTTCTGTCTGGCTAACGAACATCACGTTATGGTCTGTCTGGCTAACGAACATCACGCTATGGTCTGTCTGGCTAACGAACATCACGTTATGGTCTGTCTGGCTAACGAACATCACGTTATGTTCTGTCTAACGAACATCACGTTATGGTCTGTCTGACTAACGAACATCACGTTATGGTCTGTCTGGCTAACGAACATCACGTTATGGTCTGTCTGGCTAACGAACATCACGTTATGGTCTGTCTGGCTAACGAACATCACGTTAGGGTCTGTCTGGCTAACGAACATCACGTTATGGTCTGTATGGCTAACGATTAGGTTTTTAAAATTAATTGTTTAAGGCAAACTTACCTATAAGATTCAAATCTTTGGACAATTTTGAAATAGCACCTTCAATATTTTCCAGCTAAAATAGTATTTTATAAAACAAATGAAAAAATTCCATAGTTTCGTACAACATACAATTGATGCAGTGATTTTAATTGACTAATACATATTGTAAGAATAGAAAAAAATTTAAAGCTTGTGTTTGTTTTAAATATATGTTATTAACTTGTCTATTTACATAGTGTTGATAATTAATGCATGATTTATCAACGTCGCAATTTAATTTTTAATAAAATTACTTCTTATATACCTTCATTATTCTATCTTCCTTTTTCTCCAACTTCTGGTTAAAGATTTGAATCAGTTTGTCAATAGGTATCAACCTTTGTTGTAGGAGCTTGTTCATTAAAATGTACTAAAGAGCAGAAAATTGAATAAAAGCATTGCAATTTTAATTATTTTTACTGCACATTTTAACTATCAAAAACATGTGTCTTAAAATTAGTATTGTATTTAATGTATAACTGTTGATACAGTTAATACGTTGTCTTTTGATTTAATCAGGTTATAAAATTTGAAATAAGTTATCTTACCAGTATGTGTAAAATTGTGTACACACATAATTAGCAATTTTACCTTTTCTATTTGAGTGGATGAATTAAGCTGGATTTTATAACTCTCTTCTTGTAGAGCAGCTATCTGATTTGAATGTCTTTTAATATCTTGTGTTATACTCTCAGTTTTATCTGTGTGATCTTGCCTCTCTTTATTTATGTTGTGTAAGTTGTTTTCATAATCTTTCATATCTAGAGACAGTTTCTTTAGTGTTTTGTTTGACTTGGATTCTTTTTCTTTTAAATTTTCTATTTCTTCGTTCAGCTCCTTTAATTTGTTATCTTGCTCACTCATTTGTTTTCTGAGGTTTTTAAAATTCTGCTTTTGTTTTTTAGTCAGTTGTTCAATGTTTACCCCCATGTCACTCTGTTCCGTTACAAAGTTGTCTCTCCATTGTTTTATTTCTGATATGTCATCTGTAGACTTTTGTTGTGTGTCAAGTAGTGAAGATAGTGTTGTTTCAATATAGGCGAGTCTACGCTCTAGGCCAGGATGTTCTTCAACTGAGGATAGTCGCAAATATAAGTTTGTAATTTAAAATGTCTGGAACCGTGATAAATAGGTTCTCAAAACATCGTTAAACGTAGAAACGTTAATATAAAATATTTTAAAAATTAAAATAAAACAAAATGTTCAAGTTTTAACATTTCATACATTATAGTATGCTGCTGTTTAACTTGATATACCAAACAAAACTAAGACATACCAGCTGCGTGTTGAACTTGTGTCTTGAGTTGTCTTGGTGATTCTACTGTTAGAAATGTTGCTGTTGTCTGTGTGTCAGGCTGTGGTAAAGATGGCGTTGGTTTGTTGACATCCTTGTTGTCTTCATCTGGTGGATTAAAGTTTAGAATTTTATTTTTGTTACAGTTTAAGGGATAATGTTTAATTGTACATACAATATTTCTAGTATGCTACAAAGTGTTTTAATTTTTACTATATATTTTTTTCAAATTTAGGAAACCAAATTTTATTGAAATTATAATTCGCTTAAACATCTAATCTCTTCCTTCTGTTAAATTTTCCAGGTCTACATATTTACATACTAATTTATTTTAAATTGATTTACAAAATAATTTATTTTCAATTGAACTAAGAAGTGAATATCCAATTTATAAATTGAAAGTGTAACATTGATTTGTAACCAAAGCGTTTAAAGAAAAATCTTATAACATTCTATTAAGTTATTGCTACCTAACTCTCTTTATGAGTAAATAAAAAATTATAAATGTTAATTACGTGTTAGTTTGTTCCTATATGTCAATCTCTAAGAAAATAAAACGTAGTGTAATAGTGAATCCAGAGTGAAAATAAATCCCTTAACAATAGTATGTCCCATTTCTATAAGGTAAATTGTAAGATTCTTTGCATTTTCCTTAAACAAAACTTTTAGGCTACATGACAGCAGGCTTAGATATTTTAAATTATAAAGTGAATTAAAAAACTGACCAGAAATATGTGACGTCACATCCAACAAGGCCGTGGCTGCTGTGTCCAGTTCTTGTGATAGCTCGATGTAGCTGACAGATGATTGGTCAGTTTTTTCTTCTAGCCACGCCTTACTTTTTGTAACAACCTGGTGATCACAATTATAAACATTATTTCACCTGGCCAGGTTTTGTATGGCTGTTTTATGAGAAAATGTCAAACTTAAACACTTACTACCGTCTAAATGTTACTTTGTTGGTTTTCAAATATTAATAAGTATAATAAGTTTTAATTTCTCTTTATATATATATATATATATATATATATATATATATATATATATATATATATATATATATATATATATATATATATATATACTAGCGTACCCGTCCCCCGCGCGTTGCCGCGGGGATAGAAGAAAGTTTGACTAAATGTATTAGATTCTAATCGGCAACCTTTTGAAGCGGAAGAGCCAAAAGTTACAATTTTCAAAATTTCCCTGGTTTTAAAGAGCCACTAACATTTTTTTGATTTCAAATATTTTATTTTGTATTAAGATTATTAGTATTTGTTCAAGGAGCTGGAGAGCCGCATCTTGATATCAAAAGAGCCGCATGCGGCTCGCGAGCCGCAGGTTGCCGACCCCTGTATTAGAAAGATTTCACCAACACGTTACCAATCATATGTTCTTAGACGCGTGGCCGTCTTTTCTAAAAGTGAGTTATTAAAATGTAAACAATGTTTGCGCTTAAATCATAAATATCGGGACACAGGTTTACCTACATTACCGCATGTAAACATTGAGTGTACATTAATCACTCACCGAAATAATATGGTAGAAAACACTTCGGTGACCGCCCATGTGTCAGAGACGTACAGGGGCGCTCTCAGGGCCCACAGCCCCCGATTACACTACCGCATAGGCGATGCGTACGACCCCTGGCTCCTTTAAAGTAATAGGCGCCATCGTACCAAATAGCATCCTGTTAATAATGATGCAGATTTCATCATTCGCTTAAGTGCCACAAATGAACAGGCTTTTTTTTCTTTAACACGTAAAAAAAGTATTTGACATGTTTTAAACATCAGTGTGACTGATGCGATATGCTAGCGTTACTAATGGTCTATTATTAGATGCTCGATCTCAATTTCTGACTGGATAGTCGAATAGTAGATGCTTATTGCATCATTCACAAAGTGAAGAAACTCTACATTAGGCTCCTCATATTCAAAAAGCTATTTTTTCATCTTTGGCAAAGTGACGAAACTGTACAGAAGGATTTCCTTGCGTTACAAAGTTATTTTTAGAAGACTGTTGTAGTTCTACCGCTGAATATAGTAGTACCCCTTACTCGCTATGCAGGACGCTCGATTAACGGATGCCAAGTGCCAACATAGTCGCTCTAAAACTCTGGGCGCCAAACCGTGTATTGACGAAAGTTGTACCCTATATGGCGCCGCCCATAAGAAACTTTAGTTTTCTTTTTCGCTGAAATATTCTCGGGAGTATTCTCATCTACTCCCTAAAGTTTCATGGCACTCGGATGAACCGCATCCGAGTTTTATTTTTTATATACCGTGTATAGAGAAAAAAATCGCCCCCCTGGGGGCGCCGCCCTTGCAACATTAAACAATATTTTTTTTTACAGAACCCTACCATTGAGTGATCTAATCATCTCCCCAAAGTTTCATGGTACACGGAGGAACGCTGTGAAACCGAAATAGACTTTTATTTTTATAAAACGTATATAGAGAAAAATTGCAGCCTCCCGTGGCGCCACCAATGCGAAATTAAAAAAAGGATTTTTTTTACAGAACCCTTCCCTGAATTGTTCTAATCAACTCCCCCAAAGTCTCTTGGCTATCGGATAACGGTGTCACACCAAAATCGACTTTTTAAAAAATATACCGTATATAGAGAAAAATCGCACCCTCCCGTGGCGCCGCCCTTGCGAAATTACAAAAGATTTTTTACAGAAACCTTTCCTAGAGTTTTATAATGACCTCCCCAAAGTTTCTTGGCTATCGGATGAACGGTGTCACTGCAATTCACTTTTATTATTTTTATATACAGTATATTGAGAAAAATCGGACCTTCCCGTGGCGCCGCCCTTGCAAAATTAAGTTTTTTTTTTACAGAACCCTTCCCTAGAGTGGTATAATGAACTCCCCAAAGTCGCATGGCTATCGGATGAACGATGCCAAACCAAAATCGACTTTTATTTTGATATACGGTATATAGAGAAAAACAAATCGCGCCCTGCCGGGGCGCCACACCTGCGAATTTGAAATTTTTTTTTTCGCAGAAACCTCCCCATGAATATTCTCAACAACTTCCCAAAGTTTCACGGCGATGTGATGAGAGGTGTAGTAATGCATAAAGGACAGACAAACACACATACATTGCTTTATATATATATATATATATATATATATATATATATATATATATATATATATATATATATATATACAATTAGCTTTATTTTACTTTTGGAAAATGTGTTCAGAGAAATTTAAAAAAAATAGTGTTATAACAGAAGAGCGTTATAAAATTACCAGTAGATTTAAAATGTTTTTATCTTACATTTTTCATAAGTTCAATGGTAGGTTCCAGTACTTGTATCTTTTCTTCCAAATATTTTATCTGTTTAGTAACAACCTTGACCTGAATTCGTGTAGGCATCTGGTTTAAAATTAGAATCTTCACTTATTACATTGTTTTGCTAGTCTCATAAGTCAATGTGATAGATAACAGAGGACTGAGACATTTGGTTTAATGCCAATCCTTAGTCTCCTTTGCTTTGGACGGACTTGTTGTAATAATTCATATTCATTGAACATAATTACACAGGTAAAATAAGAGTAGCATGATGAATAATCGTGAATAATCGTTGATGCAGAGAGACAAGTGCAAATATAATATGTAGATCTGCAGACACGTGTGCTAGCACCTGTGCAAATATTTATGTACACCTTTCTCCCCCCCCCCCCCTCCACCTACCGTATGACGGCTGCAACACAGCAAAAAAAATATCAAGGTGTGACCCCAGAGTTGCAAGATTTATGTAGAAATGATTTTGTTTGCAGTTTATAACTAAATATAAAGATTTAAATACACATTTATATAGAAAGTAAAATAAAATGTAACGTACTTTGGTTATTTTTAAGATTTTAGGGATATTTTTCGTTGTGAATACTATATTTGAGGGGAGGGGCGTTGTCAAGAATTTTGTTCGCGAGTATTTGTAAGCAGATACGACTGTTGTCGATGTAGATACTTGAAGTGAGGATATTTTAGACGTATTAACAATGTAAACTAATACCTCAGTTGGCTACTGCTTGTGTTTGAAAACATAAAATACATAACACTTTAACTACGTATCGAAACTTGTCAAATGTTGTCTAATTGACTTAAACTGAACTGAAAATACAAACCATGCGATAAATAAAATGGCAACAAATCACATCGATAGTTTTACAAAATTGCCTTACACGAATTAAATTTTAAGACAGTCATTACCCTGTCTACGACACGCTTTTAATTATTTTTATTAAATAATTACCTATTACAGCGTTTAAACGTGTTATTCTATGAAAATATTTCTATTATATATATATATATATATATATATATATATATATATATATATATATATATATATATATATATGTTACTTTATACATTACTTATTACACGACAGTAATTACATATTTTTTACACAAACCTACAATTATAAAAGGTAGAAAGGTGAAACTGAAAGTTATTAACGGGAAAATCCGCTATTATAAAAATACCTTCCTTCAGGTTATAAAGATGGCGACAACACAAGACACGTACTAGATCTGCTGTCTTGTCTTCAACTAAAACATTTAATTTAGGTAACACGCACAAAAATTAAACACACTATCTTATTATATATTTATCTGTAGTAGGTGCCATCTTAATGCTTTCACAACTATCTTGAAAGAAAGAGAAATTCAAGTACATTTTAAAATTATTTTAAAAAAATATTACGCTTCATAAATGTATTAGTACTATTAGACTAGTAGTATTATATTTTTAATAAATAAAACATACACTTTTCTACATACTTTGTACCTTTATGGTTATCAGTAATGTATACATATTTTTAATGGTATGTAAATTATATTTTTACACTTACTTCAAGGATAACTGCAGGAAATTTTACAGCTAGATTCTAGATCTAGATCTAAAATCCTTCTACAAACTGCTACGCTGCTCATGAAACCGAAATAACTGAACGGGAAATCCCGGTATTATCTAAAGAGTTGACGTCACGCTCCAAGGGACAGAACAGTCGCTTTCACATTCGCCTGACCCAAACACTTTAAGGTAATTCACAATATACAGGGGCTTAACTGTCATACCGCAATACGGGTGTAGAGGGGTGGGGGGGGGGCGTATTCCGAAAAAAAACAACAAATATATTTTGCACCTTTTTTTAACATATCTACTACAGCAGTGGTTGTTCAACATTATGTAGCACACACTGTCGCATAGAGAATAATCTAGATTAGTTTTTGTGTGAAAGTTTGGCAAACGTTCTAATCATTTATATAACTTATCACTTTGCTTTAAATAGTATAATAGGGGAGTACAATACAAATTAAAAAGCAATTTCTTCACTTAATTGTTAGTAAAATAAGGAATACTAAAGACTGACACAGACATAAACAATATTTTATATATCTTTATTTAGTGAGAACAAATTTTATTATAGAAAGCAAATTAATTATTTTTTTTTAAACGGCCAATGTGAAAAAAGGCATACAAGCCTATTGCTTTTACCTTTATTGAATACATTATTTTCTTATTTACAATATATTTAAAAGCTTGTTGTTAATGTTTTTAAATCTTTGTTTATTTGTTTAAAATGCATCAACTATCTTTCGTATTTTCTCTCGATGAGTGCCACGAATACAATCAATTTTCTGACTACCAGCTAAAAACATTAAGTTTGTTGGTCTTGTCATATTTTAAGACGGTACAAATCAAAATTTAGTCTCCGAGTCGATGTTCCATAATCTATTGTGAACCCCAACAATTGATGTTTTATTGTGAACCCCAACAGTTGATGTTTTATTGTGAACCCCAACAGTTGATGTTTTATTGTGAACCCCAACAGTCGATGTTATATTGTGAACCCCAACAGTCGATGTTATATTGTGAACCCCAACAGTCGATGTTATATTGTGAACCCCAACAGTCGATGTTCTATTGTGAACCACAACAGTTGATGTTTTATTGTGAACCCCACATTAGGGATTGTTAAGGTGGATGCTAGCTAGAGTCGTTTATTTTAAAAGTAGACACTTTCTTCACAGGGCATACAAAACAGGAATTATGTTAATAATTTAAATATGACCTTGCCTGTCTAAGTTTAGTATGATTTATTACCTTGAGATATCCTATCATAAATTCATTGAGATAAGAAAAAAATTATTTTTAATTATATCATTTTGCCTATTACAGTTTACATTGAGACATTTGATCAGATATTCTAAAACTAAAAACATCATTTTAATTACATCATTTTCAGCGTCACAGTTTACATTGAGATACTCTATCAAATATTCTATGAGGTAAGACACTTTTAATTATATACTTTTGTTTTTATGCACCAACCTGCTCACCAACATTAAAATTAGATCTATACTTTGAACACCAACCTAGTGACAAACAAAAGGATAAATCATGTTCACAAGTTTGATGAAATGTGTTATGTTATTTTTATGTTTTTGCCTACACTATAGTCTACACATTGTCTATGTGCATTTTAACGGACTAGTAGGGTCATCAATATTGTTTAATAATAGTAGATCTATTTATAAAGAATATATTCAAATGACACAATTAAAATAAATTAGTTTATATTTTTATACAGATGGCCGTATCGATTCCTATAAAGGAGCAATTAGCTCAACTGTTGAACAATTTGGAAGAGATGAAAAGTTTGTTAAAAAATAATTTAAGTGACTTTGATCAGCAGGTAAGCACATCCCATATAGCGATGTATTCTCAAGACTTTAACTTATCTAGAACATTATTAAGCTGCTTAGCTTAAGAAATACAAACGTTAATGCTACTATAGGGCTATTTATGAATGCACATATTTTCGCAAAATGGTGATATAAAATTTCAATTTCTATCCACATTCCTTCTGTAAATAGATTTATACATGGTAATGGAATTACTTTATTAAACACCCAATACAACAATGATGAATATTAATATTTTAGATTTCTTTCTTTTTATTCTAAATTAAATAGCACATTAATCTTAAAATATGTCAATCCTTGTCAATGTTATATCATGTCTAGGTAAAACAAGCAATACTGGAATGGTTTGACAATCACTCAGATGCAAAAATAAATTTTAAAGAAGTTGTTTCTATGGTAACAACATTAAATACTGCCCTACTTGATCTTAAACAAATGACTTCTGGTAATTTTATAATATTATTATGTGGTAGAATTTTACTTTTTTAAAAATATAATTCGTTGGATTATTAATTTACAACGATCAAAGACATTCGACAAATATGCTAATTAAAAAGATACATCACTACACTTTAATTAATATACGTTTTGTCTTTATTGACTACATCGTTCATTTAAAATCATTGCATCCTATGTATTGTAATATACATCTATATTTGTAAAAAAAACTATTGTATGTTTTCTAAAATTCAAAATATTCTTATTGACAAGATAACATATCGTTTAAAAGCCGTTAATTTTTATATTTTAGATTGCGTGATTTTAAAAACATTTGCAATGCTTTTCAAATATTTTTACATTCTTACTATTGTAAATCGAATCCTTAAAACATATTTGTTCCACATGTCTAAAAGTTTCCTGCACCAAGTATCAAGCAATGGCTGCTGGAGATAAGACAACACAAGAGAATAAAAGTGTTGACTCTGTACACGATGTAAATTATTCTGATCTTTCTATGTCAGGTAAAACCTTAATTTAACATAGCGAAAAAAAATGAAATGGTTGTAAAAAGTGATTGTGCTAAGTAAAATTGCTTTATATATATATATATATATATATATATATATATATATATATATATATATATATATATATATATATATATATATATATATATGCCAATGCACCGTTGCTGTAATGTAATTACTTTACTTTTGTCTTTAGTTAGAAATATTTTGATTCTATAGCCTTCTCCAAGAATATGCTAACATAAACACATTTTACAAGTTGCAGCTGATTTAAGTAACACATTAGAGCAAAGAGTAGAACGTCTTGAAACAAAGCTAACTTCTATGCAAAGTTGGAATAAGAAAACTGAAGCTGACGTGACCGAAATTAAGCAATAGAGGGATACTTATAAATCAGAAGAAAGTAATATGAAGGAACACATAGAACAATTGGCTATAAAACAAAAACATAATTCTAAGCAATTCCGAAAGCAAATTAACGAACAGAAACATATGACGGATGAGATGAATGAAGAACTGAAACAATTGAATGAATTAAAACAATGGAGGAAAACACTTATATCAGAACATAACATTATGGCGAAAAAACTTGAAGAATTGTCTCAGAAAGAAATAGATAATAAAGAAAAGACTAGAGAACAAATAAAAGAAACCAAAACCAAAATAAATGAGTTGAATAAAGAAATTGAGACACTAAAAGAAAAGGAATCAAACGCAAGACAAGCTCTAGAAAACACGAATACAGAGATGAACAAGTTTGACATTATATTAAACAAAATAAATGAGGAATTAGAAATTCAAACAACTAAATCAGAGAAATTGCAACAAGATATTAAAAAGCATTCTGATGATATTTCTCACTTGAGGGAGGAAGGAAATAAAAACAAAAATACGGAAACCAAAGTAGAAAAGTTAATGTCAATGGTTTGTACCTACTTTTTTTAAACCCTTATTTTACTCTTTTAAAATGGATTTCTTGGTTTGTATTGTATTAGTTCATAGCTACACACTTTAATAACTACAAACCTGCTCACATGCAATTTGTCTCGATTACATTTGCCAAAACTGTTAAGACAACATGATTATATTATTCTACTTCTAGCATAGCGTCACGTTCAAGATCTTACAACAAAGATTGATGCCCCTTGAAAATTTGATTCAAATTTTTAATCAAAACTTGGCAAATAGGCAGATGAACAAACAAAAGGTAACATATTTAGTACCTAATGCGACTGTTCCTTTTGAGAGTCTACAAAGCCCACACAACCTACCGACATGTTCTCATGACAGAAATATTGTTTGAGACCGATGTAAACAATTAATTACCAACGCTGCTTTTGTTCTTTGGTAGACACAATTACAATATTAAAAATATAAATAAACACTTTTCTTACGTTTAGTTTGCTATCTTGTTTTTTTTCTGTAAATTTGGAAAAAATTAGTTGTAAAAAAAGAAATATGACACTATTTTGAAATGATAAGATGACATCTTTTGTTTTCAGCTTGCAACCCTGGAAAATGATATTTTGAAATTCTCAAGTGATGTAGATTCAATTAGTAAGTATGTAATCCTTAACTACTTTTATAATAATCACAAGCCATAGGTACTGGTTAAAAGTGTGTTAAAGGCCGATATTTAAAAAAATAATTATACTTGGTTGATGTGATGGGGGGGGGGGGGGTTATAAGTATTATGTATGAGACTTCATCTATAATCTATATCCTGAGTACTACTATTATTAACACTGCAATTAAAAGCTTGTGAAGGAGGACGGGAAACACTCTTATTTTCCGCAGACACTAATTAACAATGTCAACAACTTCGTTTATGAAATAACATTAACTTTATTATCACACACTTATAGATCTATTTCACAATATCAAAACACGTCCGTCTTCTACTACATCTAACCCCCAACTATTTCACTGCTGCGTCTTACGTCATCGGTACATTGTCGCGTCATGCTCACGTCACACTCACGCCACAAATATTTTATTGAACACGCGCACAATACTCTCGCACCAAATCGTCTACCGTCAAGTTCACACTGTCCTCAGTAACCTCTACTAGTCTACGCTATGACAGTTGATAATAATATATTTATATATAAAGCAATGCAAATGTGTGTTTTTCTGTCTTAAAATGGCCTAATCATAGAAGGGTTTATTGTTGAGAAAGAACATAACAATTGGGCTGAGAACAAAAACAAAGCTTCAAACAGGAATATTTGCTGGAGCTAAGAGGCGTACACATATATACACATACACATACACATAGAAAAAAAGTCATCGTCACACGCATTGCAAATACAGACAAAACAAACACACAAACAAAAGCGTGTTTCAACATATTATACAATATTGTAAGTGTATATATCGTGTTACTGTTAATAGAAGAAGAAAATAAAAACACATGCTCTGTAATCGTACGGCGGTCAAATGATACTCGCCCTTTCATTCCTAAGTCTATTTGTCCCCTCCCCCCCCCCCCCCCCCCCCAACCCTGTCATGTGTTATCTAACGATTACTTAAAATTGACTTGTATACGATATTTAACACAACAACATTTGGACACAACGTTCAACAATCTATGAGGCCTAGCACCAGCCTTTATGTGGAGACTAAAATATAGTTCTTGGCTTTTTTTAAAAACATGTTAATTTCTATTAACGTACTCTCAGGAAACATGTATAAAAAATCGTGTTAATTGTATCACACCTATGATCAAAGCCGGACACAGCGCTTATGATCAAACACCAGTTGATAGACCACCTGTGATCAAAGACCCTCTGCTGAGAAAACACCCGTGGTCAAACCCCCTATGATCAAACCCCCTATGATCAAACCCCCTATGGTCAAAGCACCGCTATGGTCAAAGCCCCGCTGTGGTCAAAACCCCTATGGTAAAGCCCCTATGGTCAAAGCTCCGCTGTGGTCAAACCCCCTATGGTCAAACCCCCTATGGTCAAACCCCCTATGGTCAAAGCACCTGTGGTCAAAGGTCCTAGGACCAATATAAATAATTAGAACCACATTTTATTAGGCACAACGTGACTAATCAAAAATATGTTTCCAATTAAAATAAAATTGTTAATATTGCAAAATACGGTATATATGTATCAAGTATAGAAAAATAGTTATTATTGTCAAATCTATTTTACTACATCCGTTTTTAATTGATTTCTTATTTAGGACTTAATTGTAGAGTTATATAACAGCATAATTTGGATTATCTTTTTTAATACTTATGATAAATATTATTTTGTCTAGTGAACGTATTCAAGCCTTCGTTTTTTAAATAGTTAATTTTATTTGTGTCAAAGCTCTATATTTCAATTACATATTCAACAAGAACAATACGTTCATCTTCATAAAATGAAGGTATGCAAAAACAAAAGATTGTGATCATACACCTAGCGCTCACATAAAGAGAAGATGATGATGGCATTGAATTAGATGGAACTGTGTAGTGATGACTAAAGAAATAACACATAAACCGTTGACGTTTGTGTAAGCATGTAGTCTACACACATAATAAGTTGTTAGTGTGTGTTTAACATGGTGGTTACATATTTTATTGTTTGAGAATTTACCATGTTTTGTGTTGTACTTCTATAAACTAACGATAGTAAAACTACTGAGCCAGGATAAAGCTGCGTCTTGATTTGCTTTACACACTTGAAAGTAAAGTTCTTGACCTTTCTTCATGTCAACAACCACTGACCCAGCAGCGCTAGTGTCGGCACATTTCACTTCTATAGACTTACACCACACGTCTCCAGCCATCACACGAACTATTATCCGTTTATCTCCCCATTCATGTAGAGTGACACAGACAAGATATAAACCATCATGTGGTGATACAAATGTTCCTGTTGTTTGATTAAAATGTTGACCGTTATATTCACGTACTTCACTAAAGCTTGAAATAATTAATCCAACACAGACAAGTGTGGGATCAGCAAGCTCCACATAACAAGCATATCTGTTACATACACGTGAATCTGTTGATTAGAAAATATATGTATGATTTATATGTTTGATTTTACGTCATCCATTTATGACGTCCACATCAATTTGGAATTTTATACCCCCTCCCCCATCCACACGCGTCCACTGTCAACGAACCCTCCCCCTCCTCAAATGTGGACGCCCTCGTAAATTTAGAATACCGCTCGAAATATGCTGCAAAATTATTGATACATTAACATGTAATTTGTTCATTGCTACATTATTAATGAAATATTGGTTTTTGTATTTTCGGTAACATCTATTGCTAGGCCCTAATAATAAGTAGATTTTTTTCGCATGGACGTCATAAATGTATGATCCCAATCCTCTGACTATTTGACCCATAATATGTGCATTGTCGTATTATTAGTTTATGTTACTAACCCTAAACATAAACTCAGTATAAGCGTTTTATGTAGTTCAGAATGTAAGTAAAATTGGCAAACCCAATTCAAATCATTTTAACAAAGAATAATGTGTGATTAATAATCCATAATGTTTAGATAACAAATTGAAACACTAAACCATTAGTTTAGTAAGTTCCTTAGTTTTTGTGGTGTTAGTTTATCGTGTCCTACGTATTGAAACTACGAGTGTAGTAGGTGACGTAATACGTCACTAAGGGTAGAACAAATGTTATATGCGTTTTGCTTATTTTATAGTTCAACTATATATCAAGAAACAAGAATTACCAGAACTAATGTTATTCTGTTGTACCTATAAAACTTTAATAAAACCGGTGGTAAGATCTGCACCATCAACATATTGGGTTGTTCGTTTCACATAAGAGTAAATTAATGTGAACATTTTTAATGTTTTTAAGTTATTATTTTATTTTAGATTTAACCCCTGGGACTCCGTCTTAATATTAAAAACATGAAGGGACGATGTGACTTAAATTGGAATAAATTAATTTTAAACTGCAACTCTGTAATGACTGTACTAGGGTAGACCGCTGTAGGTCGACCCCCGACATACCAGGTGGTGTAATGTACCAGGTGAGGAAACAAACACCTGACGGAAACCCACGGGTCTAAAGACTGGCACTATGGGTGAGTGAAATGTTCCATTCTTTATCACATTATGGTCTGTCTGGCTAACGAACATCACGTTATGGTCTGTCTGGCTAACGAACATCACGTTATGTTATGTCTGGCTAACGAACATCACGTAATGGTCTGTCTGGCTAACGAATATCACGTTATGGTCTGGCTAACGAACATCACGTTATGTTATGTCTGGTTAACGAACATCACGTAATGGTCTGTCTGGCTAACGAACATCACGTTATGGCCTGTCTGGCTAACGAACAGCACGTAATGGTCTGTCTGGCTAACGAACATCACTTTATGGTCTGTCTGGCTAACGAACATCACGTAATGGTCTGTCTGGCTAACGAACATCACGTTATGGTCTGTCTGGCTAACGAACATCACGTTATGGTCTGTCTGGCTAACGAACATCACGCTATGGTCTGGCTAACGAACATCACGTTATGGTCTGTCTGGCTAACGAACATCACGTTATGGTCTGTCTGGCTAACGAACATCACGTTATGGTCTGTCTGGCTAACGAACATCACGTATAGTCTGTCTGTCTAACGAACATCACGTCATGGTTTGTCTGGAAAACTAACTTAGTTTAACAAGTGGTTATGTCCGTGTAATGGAAAGGCAGAGAGTGAAATATTTAGATAAAATGTGAGCGATTGAGAGTAGAATATTGAACACAGGTAATAAAACAAATAAAACATTTAACGATTTGTTATCATTTATTTGACAGCTTTTACTATTGTTATTTTTAAGCGAGAAAATGAAATAGGTAGGATATTCATTAAATCACTACTGTTAAATAAATATGTTTCAAACTATTTTTTAAACAAAACTTACCGATAAGATCAAAATTGTTGGACAACTTGGAAATACTATTTTCAATTTCACCCAGCTTAATTAAAATAAAATAAATAAATGAAAGCATCACAATATATTTACATAAGCTATAATGTAGGAATGGTACACTAAATTCAATAATGTCAACTTGTTAGAATATAAAATGATTAAACGTACATTCTCATTTAAGTTTTTTTGCTCTGTAAATACTAAATAGTCTAATAGCAGACTTGTCTTGAGTAGTGCAGGATTTATCAATTTTGTGAATAATTTTTGTTTTATAAAGTCATTACAAACACACCTTATTAATTCTTTCTTTCCTAGTTTTCAGGTTCTGGTTAAAGATTTGAATCAGTTTGTCAATGGGCATCAATCTTTGTTGTAGGAGTTTGTACATTACACTGTGCTAAAGACGGACGATCATAATTGAAGATTTATACATTTAAATATTAAAACTCACATAAAATTAGTATTTATATAAAAGTTATGGTCATAGGTTAAGTTAGTCAATTGTCTCTTAATTAAAATTTTGAAGTAAATTAACTGGCAAGTAAGAATAGAACTGCGTACAAAATATTTAGTAATTTTAAAGTTTACCATTGATTGCACATTTTCAAATCCGGTGAATGTTTTTATCAAGATTTTATTATTTTCATCTTGTAAAGAAACAATCAAATCAGAATGGCTTTTAATTTCTTCTTTCATACCATCTCTTACTTCTGTATTAGCTTGCATCTCTTTATTTATTTTGTGTAATTTTTTTTCATGTTCTTTCATGTGTAGAGACAGTTTCTCTAGTGTTTTGTATGACTTGGTTTCTTTTTCTTTTAAACTTTCCATTTCTTCGTTCAGCTCCTTTATTTTGTTATCTTTTTCACTCATTTGTTTTCTAAGATTTCTAAAATTCTGTTTTTGTTTTTTAGTCAGTTGTTCAATGTTTACCCCCATGTCACTCTGTTCTGTTACAAAGTTGTCTCTCCCTTGTTTTATTTCTGATATTTCTTCTTGAGTTTTTCGTGTGGTGTTTTGTAGACAAAATAAGCTGTTTTCTAGAAGACCCAGTCGAGTGAATACTTCTGTAATGTATAACAAATAATTTAATAGCATTGTTTCAAGTACAATAGAATATGTGTAATTTTTTAACATTTCTTATTCTGTTTAAAAAAAAAACATGTTATACCTTCTAAATTTTGTTTAGTCATTTGATTTGTTGATTCACTTTGGTCATGTTGCTCTGTTGCTGTAGGCTGTTGTCTAGACTGAGATAATGATGGCGTTCCATCATCAATATCTACAGGTTCTTTATTTTCGCCTTTTGGTAAAAGTATACATAATAATTTGAATTAAAATTCTTCTCTCTTTTTAAACAACAATTGCGAATGTGTGTACATACTACAGGAATAAAGTTATGTCAATAATATATTTCTCGAGCTTTTTAGCCTATATTAAATAATTGTCAATATACAATATATAATCTCATGTTTGATACTGGAAATGTAAATAAAATCGTACCTTTATCTAGAGATGGTATGGGAACTCTCGCCTTCAACTAGTTCTTTAGTTCATAACTGATTACATAATTTAGATAGACTTATATTATACAATGTTTACTTAAAATATTTGAAGCTACATCCAACAAGGCCGTGGTCGCTGATGCAAGTTCATGGCAAAGCTCTATGTATGTGATAGACAGGTTGTCATTTTTATCTTCCATCCACGTCTTACTTTTTTCCAATGCCTGATGACATAAAACATGTTGAAGTTGTGGACATTATGTGGCTGCTAAACGTAACTTACTACTACCTACATGCTAATACCCGAAACGACAATAACACAATTCAACAGTAAAATATGAATAATCGCTCACATGTTTCATCAAGCCAATAACAGGCTCCATAAATTGCATTTGTTCTTCCAAATATTTCATCTGTTTAGTAACAACCTTCTGCTGAATTCTGGAACTCATCTAAATAAAACAAATGTAAGTTTAGTAACTTTAAATAATTGCCTCTATGCTACGTTTAGAACTTTCAAGTGTTTTTTTCTCTCACTATCTGGAGTGCACGGGCTTCAAATGTAATAACTAAAATACAGAACAAACTGCGGCCGCACTTGTATATATCTAGGACGTGCTAATGAACATCGTCGTATACAATATTCACAGTGTATAATATCATCGGCCGGAGCCCATGAAACTTCGAGAGGCGATCACGCGATTCTAGTAAAAATAGTTGCCTTTCCAGGAATATACGTTTCAGAAGTCGCAACTGGCCAGAGACCGGAAGCCGCGATTATCTTAAATTATTGCATGAAGTTTAATTAAACTAGTTTGAGGAGATGCTATTCTTTCAAGACCGTTGTCTAAATACAATTTTCACAACTCTTAGCTCTACTCAATATACACTTAATTCTATTTTCTTCTATCCGAACCAAAAAGCAAATGTAGACAAAAATAATAGCAAAATAAGTTTACCAATGTCCCTGATTTGTCAATTTAGACTTAGAGAATAAGTATACACTTTACGTATGTCTGTGATGATAAAAAAAAATTTATTTTTGAAAAACTTAACGAACCAGTTTTCAACCCGTCGATATTGAAAAACAAAACTCGTAACAGCACCCAAATCAGATAATGCTGACTTTGTGCTTGCTACATGATTTCCTTTAGAAAAATATACATCTAATTCATTTGAAAACTTGGTCTTCCCTCTTGCATGTAAATCGGTCTTGGGAATGTCTGAACTACACTAATTTATGTTAATTCAAGAATTACAGTTCTAACATATGTATGTGTGAAACAATCTAGCTATTCAAATATAATAATACTATAATGAATAACATAACATCACATTTAACCTAACTAACCATACCATTGCAGGAGTAAGCTATAGAAACCGTGATAAGACTTAACAAACTAAAATCAAAAACATGATGAAATGAAATTACTTTATCGCCCACACTATCTAAAATAATGTTGCGTATGACTTAATTTTACCTCATAAATTGTAGATCTAGTGAAAAACAACAACACCAGCTTGACAACTGCAATAAATGTGTCATTATTCTCGGAATTTAAAAATAGATAATAGCGGGATTTCCCGTAAGTCGCTTTCATTTTCAACTCCAGTTTAAATGTTCAGAGACAGCCATTTAAGTTTTCATTGATTAAATTTAGTTAGCTACTACCGAGGTGAGTTAAACATATTTTATTTTATTTTATACAAACTAAAACATTTTTAGAGCATGGACCTGTTCAATGAGAAAATGGTTTATAGATTTTTAACAAAAGCCTACCGAATTGAAAATGTAAGAAAAAGTATGAAAAACACTTTAAATCTGTTCTCTGATCTGTTACATTTGGGGTAACCCTCTATAGTCTATAGTCTTGTGTTCCATTAATGTAATGTAATTGTTGTCAATCTAATATTTAAATCATTCAACATAAATGCGTGACTAAATAAACCGTTGCATAAAACTACTTAATTTATATTATTTTCTTAAACTATGATATATTCATATTGTCATTTTTGATTTTCCCGATTGTACGTAAGTAAGGCTGTGTCATTTCTAAAAAAAAGAAATACCTAGAAACAGATTTTAAAATACTTCTAGTGCTAGGAATTTGCTTTTTGAAAAAATTCCTCTTATTGCAACACTACATTTTAAGGTTAGAAATAGTGTTAACATTTCCAATTGTTTTGTAATATTTTTTTTTACAGACGATTCAAAATTTGCTTATGATGTTAAACATATTAAAATGATTCAAAGTTCAAATCTAATCATATACAATAACCATTACGTTTCGCAATAATTATTTTTTGTGAATGAACGTTTTATTTATGTTTGATAGGTATTTTATGTCTCTGCTAGGTTGAGTATGTGTATAATAAGTCTTTAAGTGTCTGTAAGCTGTGTATGTGACGAGCGTGTTAAGTATGAGACGTTTTGTATGTGTTTATATGTTTTGTGTGTTTGATACATCCGTGTATGTATTTTACGTTTGTAATGTCTGTTGTAAGATAAAGTTAGTTTAACATCATGTGGCTAATAAAATCCATACTTAATAGATTTAAAAGTTAATTTCATTTCGTATATTAATGATCGTTTAATATTTTAATATTTTCACAACGATTAATATAATTTATAAAAAATGATAATGGTATTCAAATAATTTGTTTGCTGAAATTTTTAATTTTCTACTATGGTTCCGGAAGGACATTATGTAAAGCAAACATGTTTTAAGAACTATAGTTTTTATAGTAGAAAAAAAATATAAAGGCGGCCTTAGGCTTACTGTATCTGAGTGTCTGTCATGATAATCAGTAATGACGTTGAGAGGCGACCTTTGGGTTAGTTTTATTTCGTGACGTTCGTTCTTAAGACTGAATTTTGTGGTCGAGGCTAATGTTACGTGGAGGTGAGATATGTTTAGAACAGTTGATGTTCTATTGTCAACCAGAACAGTTGATGTTTTATTGTGATCATTCTGGTAGATGTTTATATTCCAAGTAGACACTGTCTTTATCTAGGAAGGCAAAGCATCCAAAATCTTAGACATTATTTCCAACAATAATTTACATTTCAGTTTGTTATATCACGTGTTATGATTTATTACATTGAGACATTCTATCATAAATTCACAGAGTTAAAAAAATAATTTTATCATGTTGGATGTCACAGTTTAAATTGAGAAATTCGATCAGATATTCTAAAACTAAACACATAATTTTAATTATATCATTTTGTATTTATGCACTTCACATGGACACTACCCTGCTCACGAACATTAAAATTATATCCGTTCTTAGAACACCAACCTAGTGACACACAAAAAGTGTATACACACGTTTGTTAAAGGTAGTTTATTTTCTCTTGCCAACACTATTCAATGTGGCACATACGCTTTTCATTTAAAAGTCGTATCCGTACATGAGAAGTATGTAGACAACTCTGATTAGCTATAATAATGTTTGAGTAAAATTATTGTGCCGAGAAACAATTATCAAAGCTATTTTAGCATATTTTGTCATGGATATCACGTAAAGCAAATACTGTTAAAATATAGAATACACATTGTCTCTGTAATGATACATGGACTGGTAGGGTCATCTATATATTTTGATATTGTTAGATTATAAACAGTTGCGTAGCTAGATATTTGGAGCCCTACGCAAAACTTATCAGTGTACCCCTTTGTCAACCGTTTATAGGCTACAAACGAGTGAAAAAAAGAAATCAAATTCTACTTCTGATGTAGGCCTACAATCACGTAGTTTTGTAAAAATGTTACAGGCATCTGGGCAAGTGCCTATTCGGGCATTTGTCGCAATCAGGCAAGTGTCCATTCGGGCGTTTGTCGCATTCGGGCAAGTGTCCATTCGGGCAATTGTCGCATTCGGGCAAGTGTTCATTTGGTAAATCGGCTCTCGGCCAAACTGCATTAGGGCAAGTGTCTTTCGGGGAAAACGTCCGGCTCTCAGTCAAAGAACGCAATTGTCATTAAAATAAGTTAGTTTATATTTTAATACAGATGGCCGTATCGATTTCCATAAAGAAGGATTTAGCTCACCTGTTGAACAATCTGGAAGAGATTAATAGTTTGCTGAAAAATAATTTAAGTGACTTTGATCAGCAGGTAAGCACATCTAATAGTACAATGCACTCACCGGGATTTTAATTATCTAGAACATTATTATAAAAAAGGCAAAACCTATTACTAAATGCAATTTATTAATGCATATATGTTTGCTAATGGTTGATATGAACTTTCATCTTCCATGCTTATTCATTCTGTAAATAGATTTACACATATATCTTAGTGGAATAACTTTAATGAATATTACGT